TTCCAACAGTTATGCAAACTATTTTGCTTCTCTGAATTAGCAGCATTGCAGACTTAATATGGTAATGTTGAGAAAAGGCTACATTTTTACCTAAGACATTCTGCTCCATAAATGACAGGCTATAAAAGTACTACAGAACTATGAGAAAGAACACCCTGTCTGTGAATACACTGATATATCAGAACAATCTATATAAACCTAGGGGCATGGAAATGCTCTAAAAGTGAAAAAGTAATTCGCAACTACGAGCAAAAATAACTTGGTCAAGTTTGGTTTTATGTAGCAGACTGCAAACCTAATTAATGCATTCCACTCTTGTAGATATGAATATCTATCTTAAGTCCAAATATTAACCATTTTAGACAAATTTTAAGGTGATTTTTAGAAAATAAATCAATTTTTAATAAGACCATGAAGCAATAAAACTGGCTGACATATTCCTTTTGCTATCATCACCACATATATGAAGTATTGATAACTAGGTAAAGGTTGGCTAATAAATGCATTAAAAAACTGCCTTGGCTTAAATGTGCCCCTAGAAAATATATATTACCTTTAAATGTGAATAGTACTATTTGGCCTGGGTTCTAGTCTTGTTTGGGGAGCTTGACCACACCTACACATCTTTTTGGCCTTCATATTTGTTAACTGGTTTCTAAGAAACTAAAGTGACCTCTAGCATTTGCTTCTAAATACAGATTCCACTAATAAGCCACAAAATGACCAACCATGTCAGTGGGTAAATTAGTTAAAAGCCTGATAATTTGCCTCTTTCTGTCCTGGACCTGCATTTTGTGGAGTGCTTCTATATTTTAGTGAATAGATATAGATGAGGGGTGAAGGGAGTTTAAAGACTCCTACCTAAGGAATGGCAAACTTTTGCTGTTTGAAGGCCAAAGGACCAAGATCCAGCACCGCATGTAGAACATACACAATTATTATTGTTTTTCTAAAGATGGAGTCTTGCTCTGTCGCTCAGGCTGGAGTTCAGTGGTGTGATCTCTTGCTTACTGCAATCTCTGCCTCCCAAGTTCAAGAGATTCTCCTGCCTCAGCCTCCTGAATAGCTGGGATTACAGGTGCGTGCCACCATGACTGGCTGCTTGTGTTTTTAGTAAAGACAGGGTTTCACCATGTTGGTCAGGCTGGTCTCAAACTACTGACCTTGTGGCCCGCCTGCCTCAGCCTCCCAAAGTGCTGGGATTACAGGCGTGACCAACCACGCCCGGCCCACAATTACTCTCAAATCATACGCAAAGTACCGTCCTGCCTCTTAAAGTCATTCCCTCGCCGGGCGCGGTGGCTCAAGCCTGTAATCCCAGCACTTTGGGAGGCCGAGGCGGGTGGATCACGAGGTCAAGAGATCGAGACCATCCTGGTCAACATGGTGAAACCCCGTCTCTACTAAAAATACAAAAAATTAGCTGGGCATGGTGGCGCGTGCCTGTAATCCCAGCTACTCAGGAGGTTGAGGCAGGAGAATTGCCTGAACCCAGAAGGCGGAGGTTGCGGTGAGCCAAAAACACCCCAAAAAAAAACAAAAAGAGCCCAAAGAGCGAAACTCCGACTCAAAAAAAAAAAAAAAAAGTCATTCCCTCATCCTTTACTCCATTCTGCCTGTTCACATCCTCCCCCCACCCCAATCCCCAATACTATCACATACCAGCATTTTGCATATGGCAGAATCAGTTCCCATCTGGTGGATGTAATGAAAAATTCACTAGACTGGAAAATTACTATTAAAATTTCCCAGATTTTCATGTAAATTGAAAAATACTAAAAAAAAAATACTCTGTAATATACTGAGATTAACATGTCTAAGTACTTCAAAGATATCCTTAACTCACTGTTATCCCAGTGAACATATCTTGTTGTATTGTTTTGTCACTCCTATTTTCTCTAACACCCTAAACAATTAAATTTTCTAATCAGATACATGTCGAACAGTAAATTAGAAAATGCTACAAAGAAGTAACCAAGTTACCCCAAACATTTTACTTAAGCCTCAGTATGACTGCTGTTTAACTTACTGGGTGTGGATACAGGGAGGCTACTCATTGCTTTTGTCTTTTAAAGTGCCTGGATCTTAGTTCAAAAATGCTCCAAGAATAAAAATATTTCAGTTTGTGTAAAGTTGAGGATAGATGCAGAAACTATCCATTTGCTTATTACAGACGGGCTTTGCCCTGCCCAAGTATGAGGGGTAAGGGAGGCAATATAAGCACATAATTTTCAGATGAAATCTTGCTGTCGCCCAGGTGGGAATGCAGTGGCTTGTTATCGGTTCAAGTGATTCTCCTGCCTCGGCCTCCCCAGTAGCTGGGACTACAGGCGTACACTACCACACCCAGCTAATTTTTACATTTTTAGTAGAGACAGGGTTTCACCATGTTGACCAGGCTGTTCTCGAATGCCTGACCTCAAGTGATCCACCCACCTTGGCCTCCCAAAGTGCAGGGATTATAGGTATGAGCCACAGCACTCGGTCAAGCACAATTTTCTGACTCCAAAATTTTTATATCTGAACTCAGCAGACTCCACTTCTAGTCAATTTAATTTTGATAATGAAAAGATTATGCAACATGTCTAAGGTGAAAACAGCTGCAATTTAAGAAATCTTACTTGCCCAACCTCCCAGTCATTCTAGATGTTAAACCTTTCCAGGCTGCCATTCTATTTGATGTATACTTTGATGTAAGGTAGTTAAGACACTGTAAACTACTTTGAAAGGGTAAAGTTAAGGTCTTAGTTAAGAATCTGGCCACGCTTGGTGGCTCAGGCCTGTAATCCTAGCACTTTGATAGGCTGAGGTGGGTGGACTACTTGAGCCTGGGAGGTCAAGGCTGCATGACTCGTGATTATGCCACTGCACTCCAGCCTGGGCGACAGTGCAAGACCCTGTCTCAATCAATCAATCAATCAACCAATAAAGGGATACCAAGACCCTGTCCCAATAAATAAATGGATATAACTATCTCCCCTCAATCAATCAAAAGATAGCAAGACCCCGTCTCAATAAATAAATGGATATAACTATCTCCCCGCCAACTCTGTGCTTCGGTATCTTCACATGTAAAATGGAGACAGGATGTACTTCACAGGATGCTGAAGATTAGGCAAATACATGTAAAGCACTTAGAATAGTGCATGACACTCAGTAAATGATGGCTAATTTATCAATCTCTGGGTTTAAAAGGGTGGAATAACAAGAGGAGCCCCATGGCTTAACTGCATGAAAGCAAAGAAAATCAAGTTTAGGTCCTGGCTCTACAAAGCCTACTAATTACCAAGATGCCTTGCCTTGGGTAGTCCCACTTTTCTGAAAGTTCTTTTTTTTTGCGACGGAGTCTCACTCTTGTTACCCAGGCTGGAGTGCAATGGCGCGATCTCGGCTCACCGCAACCTCCGCCTCCTGGGTTCAGGCAATTCTCCTGCCTCAACCTCCTGAGTAGCTGGGATTACAGGCTTGAGCCACCGCGCCCGGCTCTGAAAGTTCTTTAACCCTTAAGGGAGTAACAATAACTGCCTTATTACTGTTATAAGGAATAAAAGAGATGACATACATTAAGGATTCTGAAAACTATAGTTTGCAAAATGGTGATTTTTCTAACACATAAATCCTTTCACCTTAAATTAGCTGACATTCTACTTCAAGTTAGAGCTTTCCCTTCTCTCCATTTCAATGTCAATATGGAATCATGGTATCTTAGTAACTTGTAATGTTGCTACCAGTTTGATAATTGACACAGATTTAGCAAGTATAAACCCTTCAAGTGGTTTCTGTGTCCTTTTGACAGGTATCCCATTTTTTTCCCTTTTTGAGATGCAGTCTCACTGCAACACCCAGGCTGGAGTACAATGGCACGACCTCGGTTCACTGCAACCCCCACCTCCCAGGTTCAAGCGATTCTTCTGCCTCAGCACCCTGCACGCAGCTAATTTTTGTATTTTTAGTAGTGATGGGGTTTACCATATTGGCCTGGCTGGTATTGTACTCCTGCCCACCTCGGCTTCTCAAAGTGCTGGAATTATAGGCGTGAGCCACGGCACCTGGCCATCCACCATTTTTTTTGGATTTCCTGTTTGGCACTATAATAGAAAGTTCCAGGTTCATCTCATATTTCTCCATTCCTGGAGCCATTATTAGTCTACTTTTGAGTATGTCCTCAAAACTGGTCTAACAATTCATTTCAGAAAACAAATTATTTCACTTGAACAATATACTGTTTGATGAGTCAATACAAACTACCTGGCCTGCTTAGATCAATTTACACTCAGTCCATCGGAATCTCTGGCTGTTTCAAACATACACTGCTAAAAAGGAAGACTGTCATTAAGAATGTTACAATAGAAGTGGAAGTTTTGAGGAGGAAAAACACCGCCCCCCCCCCCAAATGTAGGCAATGGCAATGCATTTAAAAGTATAGTCTCACAAAATCTCACTTCAAACAGAGCAGCATACCTGGGACACATATATTTATCTGCTTACAACACTTCTTTACTATACTTCATATAGATGCCTTCACATCTTGATTACATGGTTATAATTGCTTAAAAACTGGCAAAGAGAAGACCTAAAATAATGCTTTATACCAGTTTGAGTCAAAGCAAAACTGTTCTAGACTAGTTGGAAAAGAACCGAGGAATTTACCTGCATTAAATGCTGCTGGATTTTTCAGCTGAGCTAAAAATGTCCATGGCTCATTCTAGTCAGGTCATAAAAACATATTCCTTAATAGTTCAGCAAACTTTAGGGAAAACTAGCTCATTGTCTTGGGTTCTAAAATCCTTTTGTTTGATATTTTTATTATAATGAAATCAAACTTATTATTACAGTATGCTCGGCTTAAAACATGTATGAGTACTGCAAGGACTAGAAGAAACAGGAAAAATCGTAATAAAAATATTTGTTGATAGGCATTGTGAAAGCAAACCTCGAAATATCCATTTGTAAGCCGTAAGAGCATAAGCACAACCATATGGGAGGAGATAACCAGTCTCTCCCTTCATATATATTCTTTTTTATTTCTTGTTATACCTTCCCAAAACAGAGACATTCAACAGTAGTTAGAATGGCCATCTCCCAACATTTTAAAAAAACTGCACCCCCCAATGGGTGAACAAAGTAAAGAGTAGTAACCTAGAGTTCAGCTGAGTAAGCCACTGTGGAGCCTTAAGTGGTGAGGTCTTCCAATTTCAGAGTGATGTGTCTTCAACTTGTATCATCATTTTAGCGGAAAAACATAATTTAATTTTGGTGAAATGAGATTCATCTCGCGACAGGATTAGTAACAGCATTCACTGAATTTCACATTCTTCTTTTGTGAACTGTGAAGAAAATGAATGGTAGCTAGAAGATCAATGGGATTCCAGCTCCAGCTGCAGATGGAATGATGATATACCAGGACAAAAAACACCTATATTTTGATTTACAAAGCTAACAGCAGTTTTAAATCTGCAACTTAATTACAGACCAACTACACCACAACCTTTTCAAATGGCAAAAATACAAAAAAGTGTTACAAAAATATTTCAGAAAAAGTGCATAGTCTAAGTGCATAGTAAAGAAAAGCACTGAAAAATATCTTGCTAGAGGGAGTTCAGCTTGGAAAAGTTATTACCAAAGCTAAACAGTTTTATTTTACACAAACTATACTCAAAAATAGCTTTATGAGACCAATTTCTGGCTAAAAGTATCAAAGGGTTTATTAGTCAAGAAACAAATACCTCAACTGACAAGGGTGGATAGAAAAGAAACAAAAAAGCTGCCTACCCCAAAAGTTCAGACTTAATAAGATTTCTTCAGTATTACGGTACTATCTCCCTTAATGGCAGAATGTGATAATCATGGAATTAATTATTGCTAAAGTAGTTTTCAAATAAAAAAAAGAAAAAGAAAAAAGAAAACAAAACAAATTAAAGTTGACACAATCTGACCAAACACGTGTCAATTTACAATTTCAATGTTATTTTACAAAATACCTACATTTACACAATAGGCTCCTGGCAGCATTTCCAGACAAATGCTCTTTTAATTTATCCTGACATGCTATAAATGAATAAATTACACTACTTTAAAATTATCATCAGTAAGTTTTCCTTTCTCTTGGGTCAGAGAAAAAGAAATGAGCGTGCAAAGAAAATTGAGAGGAAGCGCACGCACACAGATAAAGACAGATAAAGAAGCAGGAGGGGTTGGGGAGGGTCAACGATCACTGAACCTCACACAGTGTGATGCTCTCCAAGGGTGAAAGTCAACTGCTTATAGCCATTTCACAAGTATTGTAAAGAAAAACGTTTTATAGGAAAACCCTTTAATGCTTTCATCTTTATTCAAAATCAGTCTAGCTGCTAGTCAGCGGGCAGCAGCTATAATACCAAGTTCTGGCAGTTGCAGTACTAGATATTGTGCCTGCAAGTCATAAAAAAACAAAAATGAAAGAATGCCTTTCCCCTTCAGACAAAAGAATTAGATTTTTTTTTTTTTTAAAGGAAAAGTTAACACGAAACCTAAATTGACTTGCAAAGGAATACCATGTAACAAATGGCTTAAAGTAGTCTATCAAAAAATTGGGGAGATTTTTATTTTATAGTGAGTCAGCAAGGCATTTTTGTTGTTTAAAAAAAAATCTCATTTCCTTACAGAAACAGTTTTTAGTTTTTAATGAACTTGTAAACAAAAAAGCTCCCATTTCAAAATAAAAACAAAATCCCAGATCATATAGATGTTTACAGTGATTACATTTATCTAAGCAACATACATACATGTTCAGTTGTAAGATGTTAACTAAATTTCTGTGACAAATATGCTTTGTTTTTTTTTTTTAATACCAAGAACATTATAGAGTTAATGCAGAGTCCTAAGGATAATCTAGTAGTCACTAAGTTTTTCTTAAGTCTTCACTTTAGATGCTGTTATTTCTAGCACAATTAAGCAGGCAGAGTCTTTCATATGCTCAAACACTGGAATCTTTGGTTGCTACCGTATCAGCTGGCTTGCAGACAAGAAGCCAACCATTTTAAGAATGTTTTAAGTGAACAACTTGCAAACCCCAGGGATGGAAAAACCCTAAGAATGCACAATTGTGAGCATTAACAACCATCACAACTGTGGCTGAAGACTGTTCATGCCGTTCTTCTGAAATGAGATCTCAAAGCAGTATAGTTCAAAACAAAAGGTTTTAACAAAAAATTGGCATATGCACAATTTCTCCACCAATTTGTGTGTCAACCATTTAGTTAACTTTTCCACTTGAAAAAATGCAATAGAAAACCGGACACCATGTTTCACTATCTCAGTTAATATTCACAATTACAGCGGCTACAACTCAGGATACAGCATCACCAATGCTGCCCAGAGTCAGTTTATACTGAAATTAAGTTCTTTACACCAAGTAAATGGTTGTCCACAACCACTGGCTAGTGTACATATGAACTAAAATTTCTAGATTTGGGGAGAAACAAATGCTGCTCCGATCATCTGCTCTGCTTCTTCTGTTCCTCAGTTCATGCTTAGAAACCTGGTAAAACAAAACAAAACAAAACAAAATGTTAAAATTCCAAGTTAAAAATTTTAAATTACACCCAGAATATGGAAATTGGGTGGAACTGAGCCAATAATTACTTTATAGTGGCTCATGTTATTTTGTCTCTTGTGAAAAGCATTAGCTCAACCTTTTAAAACAGAAAAACATGAAATCTATACTTAAAACTAGTTTTTCTGTTTTGAATGACTCTAGGAAGGAGTGGTACAATGAATTCAAAGCCTCTCAGCATACTAAAATAATTATCAGTAATTCAAATGAGCATGTTGCTATTCACTTCTGTATTTTTAGTACCTAGAACATATTATGCACTCAAATATTTATCAAATCAACAAAAAACAGATTGCTTCACTTTAAAGAACGCAATTTTAATCCTACCATGAGCAAAAACTTTTCTGCACATTATTTCTGACACAAATTAAAATGGTAAGTTCAATAATAAATGCATTCAAGGCATAATTATCTCAATTATTTTACTAATCAAAGATCAGAGAAGCATGTAATTTCTGTAGAGAAACCTTAGATAGACCTTTGAAACTTCTTTACCAGCTGCATTAGAAAGATGGTTTTGTGATAAGCAAGTGATGCTTTTCTGGATTTATTTTCTTCTCAAGCCTACATATTCTGCACATACTTCCCTCCTCCACCACAAGTAGACCCTAGGGCCTCTATATAAGCCCTAGGCCAAGTTTGAATACAAGAAGCTTCAGGTCGTAACTGCACAGTTTACCTACATCTAAAGGCAAACAGAGAAAATTTTCAGCAATAGCCTGAAAATCCATTAGGCGCCTTTTTCCCTTTCACCAGACACCCACTCTGAGGCACCAATGCCCCTCTGTCCCCAGCTCCTTACATATGAGCTAGAAACTATAGCTCCTTCTAGCCCACTCCAATCTCTCCTTACTTCTTTAACCTAGGTCAAGTTTTCCTCAATCACAAACTGCTCCTTTTTTTTTCTTTTCTTCTTCTTTTTTTCCCTTTGAGATAGAGTCTCACTCCGTAATCCAGGGTGGAGTGCAGTGGCACAATCTCAGCTCACTATAATCTCGTGTCCCCGGTTCAAGCAATTCTCCTGCCTCAGCCTCCTGAGTAGTTGGGACTACAGGTGCCTGCCGACACTCCGGGCTAATTTTTGTATTTTTAGTAGAGACGGGGTTTTACTGTGTTGGCCAGGCTGGTCTCAAACTCCTGACCCCCTGATCCACCCACCATGGCCTCCCAAAGTGCTAGGGTTACAGGCATGAGTCACTGTGCCTGGCCTTATTTACTTTTTAAACATTTGTTGAGCTATCTCCCATGGGCTTTGTGGGAGAAATAAAATAATTCTCATGTTTATTTCTTATTATGAATATATGCCTGTTTGGGGGGAAAGAATAGTAAACATACAACAGAGTAGATACATAATAGATCTTTTGCTGCCTGGGTACTAAGTCCATAAGAAGCAAATGCCAAAAATGAAAGATAAAACTTTGACAATATATTTCACCACAGGGAACATTATTTGATGCACGTTATTAAGAAGTATTAGCGAGGTCGGGCGCGGTGGCTCACGCCTGTAATCCCAGCACTTTGGGAGGCCGAGGCGGGTGGATCACGAGGTCAAGAGATCGAGACCATCCTGGTTAACACAGTGAAACCCCGTCTCTACTAAAACTACAAAAAATCAGCTGGGCATGGTGGCGCGTGCCTGTAATCCCAGCTACTCAGGAGGCTGAGGCAGGAGAATTGCCTGAACCCAGGAGACGGAGGTTGCGGTGAGCCGAGNAAAAAAAAAAAAAAAAAAAAAAAAAAAAAAAAAAAAAAAAAAAAGAAGTATTAGCGAGGCAAAGCTTTCTTTTAAAGGCTGTCAAACCAAACCCTTAATAAAAAGAAAAAAAAATCTGACTATACCCTAATTTCAATTTTAAAATACAGGATAAGTTTCAAGCTTCTTGTTTGGGAGTTAAGAAAAAAAATTACAAGGCAGGATAAGCTATGCAGGTTAAGAATCTAAGGATTAAACACAAATGGCCCTTCCCCCATCAGAATTTGGTTTTAAGTCCTGCAATTATTCTTAAACACAATTTAAAAAAACATGTTTTCACAATTACTAAAATTGCTGGGTTTTATCATAGTTTTCTTATGTAATCATATTAAACTAATCATTATGGTGAATATACCAAATGGCTTTCAAACGGAAAAACCACCATCACTAACAAACTAAAATGGAAACATGTTACATTGTCAGTCAAAATACTAAGAAACTCTTATGCCTTTAATATCAGGGAAACTCAAATTGAAATACATCTGTACATCTTTTAGCCTGTTGTCTGAGGAACTGCTGAGTCAATAAATGATTACAATTGTTTAGAAACCGGTAAAAGGCTAGCCTAACAATATTCTGGTAGAATAGAGCAGTCAAAAATACAGCTTTAACTCTTCAGATGGGTCAATGGTATGCTATTCCGCCGAGGGTTCAACATTTTTCCAGTCAACTGTCCTAAGACGTTTCTGAAGTATGTTTAGGAAAAAAGAAAAAACGTCAACAGGAATATTCAATTAGGTATTCAACATTCAATCTTCAAGTACTAAGCATTATTTTCTCCAATATGTATTAGTTTTTGTTTTTTTATCTTGCAGATGAGGTGGCTTATCCAGGCTTCCAAAAGTTCAAGAACCCATCTTCATTGTAGTATCAGTTAAAATGAGGAATGAATCCCTTTGTTCCTTAAGAGAGAGAGAGAGAGAGAATGGAAAAAAGTTAAAACAGAGCCGGATGATTAAGAAGTTAACAGCTAAATTACTTTTTAAATCTGCAAAAAGAAAAAAAATATATTTTTATATAACTAACAAGGAGATTTATCCCTGCTCACCCCCCAGTCTGAAATCTAAAATGTATGTTCTGGCCCAGAGAGGTGGCTCATATTTGTAATCCTAACAGTTTGGGAGGCTGAAGAAGGAAGATCACCTAATGCCAGGAATTCCTGGGTATATATATCCTGGGTATAACATATATATTTATATATTTATACATATAAATAAACCAGGGCAACATAGTGAGACCTATATGTAAAAAAAATAAATAAAAGGTATGCGTTTTCTTTTGATGTGCTAGACTTATAACTCCTGGGCTGAAGAGATCCTACCACCTCAGCCTCCCCATACAGTGTGTATCTGTTGTCATTTATAAATTAACTACAGATGTTTCTGATTTTTAAATCAGAACCAGACACTAGTTCAAAGGGATATTTATGTAGTACTAAGGCTTGTAAGATTGTGATGGGGCTTCTGAAATTAGGATCCCTTCACATTTTTACAAGACAACTTTTTAAAAGTTATTTTGAATATAATATTCATTATGCTATGTCATTTATACTAACTTTTCCTATAACATGGTTGTGCGTGTGTGTTTTAATTATTTAAAATAGAGACGAGGTCTCCCTATGTTGCCCACGTGGTTCTCAAATTCCTGGGCTCAAGTGATCTTCCCATCTCACCTCGAAAATGCTGAGATTATAAGAGAGAGCCACAGTGCCTGGCCACTTATATGGTTCTTTTAGTTGCACATAATTAAGCTTGGAGAATTTTAAATCAAATTGGCAGTATCTAAAGTTAAAGAAAAATTAAAAAAAAAACAAACAAACCCTATAATTCTTCTTTCCCTACAGAAACTAATGGAAGTTATGTTTTCAACACTACAAATGAGATAAATGACAATTTTTAAGTATAGGGAGTAGACATCATTCCTAAACAGCATTAAAAAACAGACTGAATTCTTCTGTCTTCCTTATAACAGAATTCATTCTGCTACACATTTCTGATGTTACAGAGTTTTAAAATACCTGTTGTAATTAATTCTTTCCCCAGCTGGTAGATGGTCTCATTGAACACCACTGAGTCCCAGCAACACTGTATTCTTCCAGGTCTTCTAACAGTTGTGCTATCATCCAGAAGATCTAACAAGTTGCAAAATTTGAAGGTCCAGCAGCCTTGGAGACGTGGACTCCAGATGACCACAAACCAACTCTTACACTTTCATCTATCTGCATTTCCAGCTGGGTTATTTAGATCTTCTTTCCAGCTTTACTGTCCACAGTAAAAAAAATCTGACAAAAATTCAAGGCTTCAGCAAGAAGATGTAGTTCCCTGGCACTTCTTTGAATTGAGTGTATTCAGGGCAGTGTATTCAGACCGATCAGTTCGTCCAGATATTTCAAGATCTTCCCCTGTGATCTGGTTGTGCTGCTGAATGACCAGCACATTCCTAGCAGCAATTGGCGAAGTCAGAAAAAAGTTAAACTAGGCATAAATGGTAGATGCAGCCCAGGAAAACTGGAAGGTAGTTCAAGGAATACTGCGGACATGGTCGGTCCATTTGATAGAAAAATAATCATTTGTAATCTCCTTTGAATGTCAACACTTTGATAGCTACCTATACTAACAATAAAACTCTACTTGGTAACTATGGTTAGGGTAGTAAACAGATGGGTTAGAGAACAGAATAGTAGAATTATGTAAGAATCCACCTTTGGGTTCACTACCTTCTGAAATTCTCCTCCACCTCTGCCCTCAACTAAAGAAACACTGAACTTCATTGGATTTTGAATGTTCTAAAAATATTTCCTTTTCCTTTACTTATTTTTAATGTCTTGAAAAATACTTTTTTGATAATCACATATAGTCAAAGGAGAGAAATGGATTTCAAAGTATGTTGGTGCGAAATGTATGTATTTTTCTTCTGAACATGAATAAAAACATTAATTATAATCTTGTGGTAATTGAACCTTAAAAGCAGTACAGATAATAATTGGCATAAAGGGAAAGGCCTTGTTTCTTGACCTTTTGATGGGCTTTGGAATGGAGTATTTGAAAAGCCCTAAAGAATATAACAAAGACACAAGTCTGTCTATTATTTAATAGGCCCACATTAGCTACATAAGCCAGACTTAAAGAATCTTTAAACATTCCTAGTAAGTTACTAAAACAACACCATTTTTACTAGAGAAATATTAGATATATTTTTCAAAAATAACCATATAAAACATGAGTAAATGTTACCATTTGAGGGATTTTCCTACATTAGAGATTTACTTGCTTAACGTACTCATGACACTTAATAATACTAAAGCCTCTGAAAATTTAACTCTGTCAAGAGCAAATGATAAAATGCATTTAAAAAGCACCTTTTAAAAATTCTTTTTTGTGACACAAGGTCTCATCTGTTGCCCAGGCTGGAGTGTAGTGGTGTGATTACAGCTCACTGCAGCCTCAACCTCCAGGGCTCAGGTGATACTCCAACCTCAGCCTCCCAAAGTAGCTGGGACCCCAGGCGTGTACCACCATGCCTGGCTTTTTTGGGGGGGAGTGCTGGAGGGGCTGGACAGGGTCTTACTACGTGGCCCACGAAAGGATAGAATTCCTGGAGGCAAGCAATCCTCCTACATCCTCCCACCTCAGCCTCCCAAATATGTTGGGATTACAGGCACGAGCCACTGCGCTTGTCTTAAAAGTTTTTAACTAGAAAAACCTAGTAGGATGTTTTCATTATTATTAAAAGGATTTACTGGGATCAATGAATCATTGAGCTGTATGAGTTCTTTTTTTTGAGACAGTATCACTCAATCACCCAGGGTGGAGTGCAGTGGCTCAATCTCGGCTCACTGTAACCTCTGCTTCCCAGGTTCAAGCGATTCTCATGCCTCAGGCTCCCAACTAGCTGGGACCACAGGTGCACGCCACCACACCTGGCTAATTTTTGTAAAGACAGGTTTTCACCATGTTGGCCAGGCTCTTGAAACTCCTGGCCTCAAGTGATCTGTTGGCCTCAGCCTCCCAAAGTTCTGAGATCACAGGCATAAGCCACCATGCCCAGTTGAGTTACTTCTTAAATAAAAAACCACTACAGTGGACCTGAAGAGACGATGCTTTCAAACGCCCTTGTTACTTAGAGACTGGAAGCAGGAATAACCCAGGGCAATTGTTTTCTAATTCCAGAACTCCTAGGAGATTTCTTAAAGAATAATCTGCTGGGCTGGGGGTTGAAATTAGGAGACTATGTTCCTAATGCTTATTTCATACCTAAGACCCTAAGACCATCCATATTTTCATGGTTTATGAGGGTTTCATGTAAGATTTGTCTTGAGCACTAAGTTTTGTATTAAAAAACAAATGGGTGTTTTCAAGATGTCAAAGAGCAAAAAGGAGTCTGTGTTAGGTGAAGCGGCACTTTTTGGTAGCAATACAGATGTATGGCCTTTGAAGTGTATCTATGAAAAGCAGTCAATGACATATGATGTGTTTTAGGAAAAGTCTAATTTTTCAAGTCCATGTTTATGTGATAATTTGTATGACCACTGTGTCTAATGGTGCTATAAAATTTGTATAAGATTTTAAGTTGCTTTTATGAAAAATAGCTACAATACAAAACAAGAATTAAACAAGTTTAATTACAGTTTCCCCCCCCCCAAGGAAACATCCCAACTGAGTGGATCCAACTTCTCATCTTTACAACCTGGATAAGGCAGGACAAAAATTCTGCTCATTTATTGAATAAGAGACACAAAGTAAACTAACAAAGGAACTAACTCAAAAAAAAAGTTAATTCTTTCTGAAGTCTGCTGAATGCCTGAAGTAAAATGTTCTAGGTCAGATGAGATTTCAATCTAATTATAGTTACAGAAACTGCAACTTGTGACGATCCTATTATCCCAGCTAGCTTCAGGCAGAATTGGTCTCATTTTGTGAGAAAAAGCACAATACACTATAGGTGTCTGGTGTAGCAGGTCCTTGGGTTAGAGACTCTTACTTAAATGGTAGGACTGTTTTTCAGTGACACTAGCTACATGACACATTATGAACTTCTTGGCACTATGATTAGTTATACAATGATTAAAACACTGAAAAGGGGCAATTAAGGACCAACTGAGATGCAGAGGCAGAACACTGTGCGAACATTAGTGTTTGCTATCCTGAGTTTAAATGTCACCATCTGAAAATCCCAATGACAGTAAACCATCAACTTTGAATCCTTCCCAAATACAGAAACATGTAAGAGAAGCATTTCAACTTCATTCCTAACAGATGAGCTCCCGGGATGAGGATGACATCAGTTATTAATATTTCTTGAAAAGAATCTTCAGATTAGAATCTACTTTTAAATTATAAAATAGTTTAAATACAACACTAAAAATGTGAAGCAAATATTAATCCATAAAGGCCAAGTTCAGACTAGAGCAGTCATTCAGAAATTTAAAAATTAGAAACCAAAAGCCAAATCTTACTTGCCCACTACTTCCAGAAAGTAGGCAGCTATCAGGAAGTAAGCCCCAGAAACGGGAAAAGAAAAATAAAACATGAAAATGGGAGTCAAACTGTATGGCAACAGTGTGCTCTAACAGTTCTACTCCTTACAGGCAGTAAGAGTGCCAGAGAAAGGTAGAAAGGAAGTAGACCACCAGTTTCAATAGCATTTGCCCCAGTCATCTTCAATTTGCAAGGCCTGACTGTAGACTTTAATTGCACATTAAACCCTGAGAGCCTGATATTTGCAACATTGTAAAAAATAAAGCCAAAACCAAAGAAATTACTTTGAAATTAAGATCATATGTAGTTAAACTGCAAATAAGAGAATTATTTTTGTGACTAGAAGAGATGTGCTTAGTTTTGCAGTTATGTGAGCATTTAAGAGAGTAAATGAGATGCTCTGCAACTGAGAAGATGGACACTTCGGGGGTAATGCCAGACTCACCTCTTGATATTAGATCATGTTCACAATTTTCCATTTTAAATGCTAAAGCATTAACATGCAAAATAAAAAATCTTAACATTGTTAGTCTGAAATAAAGTCAAAATATGGCTAACCAAATTCATTATTAGAAATCAACAAGTGTTAGGTCTAGGATTTTGGATTGATTGATTATATTATATTATATTCCCAACACCAAATTTTTGGAAAGGGGGTTAATGAATGAGTAAAAAAGATGCAGTTGTTAAAAAATGACCCAAAATCCCAAGAGAAATGATATAATATAAACACATATATGTATATACAAATACATATACATATATATGAACAAGGACATTTGGGTTTAAAGTTAGTAGTCAAATTTTCCAAGGACGTCTTTTTTTTTTTTTTTTAAACACAGAGCCAAATTTTTACGTATTTTAAAACCACCTCCTTGATCTAACACTGTTAGAAATGAATGAATTACCCAATTTTGTATTCAATTTTTTCCCTGTAACGTCACTTGGTTCTTGGCTACTAACCTTTCATGTTACTCTTGGTTTTGTCAGTTTGCTTGCCTGTGGGGGTTTGGGCCTGCTGACCCTGCCCACTGGAAGAGGCTGCCTGCTGTGCTGCTTTCTGCTTTAACATTGTCCAATCAAATGTGTAGTCATATTGATGGTTCAGGGTCCTGGAAAAGGTAAAATATTTTATGTTGATCCTTCAATAACAGAGTCCAGTTATATAACCTACTAATGTTTTAAGACAGTGAGGGCACTTCTTCACACAACGAATATTTCCTCAAGCATGGCAGCTTCTAAAATACTTCTCTTATTATAGATGAAAAAGGCAGCATGAAAACTTAAACACCGAGTCAAGCTGTCAATTACCTAGGGGAATACTTATAAGAGGAGGTACTTTCTAATAACAAGAGTAAATATTCAACTGGAAGTTTAGGAATAAGATATCTGACTGGTATCTTGGGAAGACACTTTTCTGGGGTTAAAGGGTTACCTGCCTTTTTTTTTTTTTTTTTTTGAGACAAAGCATGATCTTGGCTCACTGCAGCGTCCCAGGTTCAAGAAGTTCTCCTGCCTCAACCTCCCAAGTAGCTGGGATTACGGGCGCCTGTCGCCATACTTGGCTGATTTTTGTATTTTTAGTAGAGATGGGTTTTTACCATGTTGGCCAGGCTGGTCTCGAACGCCTGGCCTCAAGTGATCTGCCCGCCTTGGCCTCCCAAAGTGCTGGGCGTTTACAGGTGTGAACCACTGTGCCTGGCCGATTACCTCAATTTTTATTCTCTCCCAACTAAGAGTTTGAGCCACATGTAATGTATTCTGTGCCAACCCCCTGCCCCCTACCACCCAGCACCTTGTTCAAGACGGATTCTGGGTTATGCCTTAGGAATATTACCCTAGTTTAGGACTGTCACCACATGATCAGATTCCATGACTATGTGATATTTTAATTGCTTTTCTATTTGGTACTGTAGCAAAGTTGGAGAGTTCCAGAGGGCACTAATGTGAATTATAACTATTCTAGAAAAGTTACATTCTACTTTGAGTCTGATTCAACTCTCTATCCACTCCAAACTAAAATCATTTGAATAATATTTACACTAGAAATAGAAAAATGCCCAATCAGTCCCAAATAAATCAGTTTATTAAACCTTTTATTCATATTAGTTAGATCTGCTTCACTTTAGTATTTATCAGAATGAATGTTAGGTAGATTTAACCAATTTCCCTCACAGAGTTTAAAATCTTAAAAATACCTTAAAAACTGACCTGAAAAGAATGCGGAATAGCTGCCTCAGATACATGTAATCTGGGGCTTCCTCAAAGCGTAGCCCACGACAATAGTTTAAGTACATGGCAAATTCTGCAGGAAACCCCTACAGGTTCAAGGGTTAAAACAAAGGGTTTTAACAAAGGGTTAAAAACAAAGGGTTAAAAACAAACATTTCAAGATACAAAAAAAAATATACAGTAGCATAAAAAAATGCCAATGGTTAGCAATATGAAAAATAAATCAGGGAAAATTATTTTATATACAATAGCTACAAGTAAAAAAAAAAACGCATTTAAGTACAAGCAAAAAGACATTTTTGGGTGGGATATTTTACCACTTCATAGGAAGCTATGAGAGCTAAAATAATAATGATTTGGTCTCCTCATAAATTTAAAATTTCATGACCCTACCCACCCTATTATGTACAATATTGGTAGAAAAAATATATATGCTTTTCCCATACAGTGCTCTTCCTACACAGTACTATGTTCTTTTTTTTTTTTAAGATGGGCTTTCACCATGTTAGTCAGGCTGTTCTTTAACTCCCGACCTCAGGTGATCCGCCCGCCTTGGCCTCCAAAGTGCTTGAATACACAGCTCACTTGTTAAAATTTGTCATTTTATCAGTCCCGCCTCCCCCCCACCTTTTTTTTAAAGACAGGGTCTCCATCTGTCTCCCAGGCTGGAGTGCACTGGTAAAATCTCAGCTCACTCCAACCTCCACCTCCCAGGCTTCAACCAATCCTCCAATCTCAGCTTCCTGAGCAGCTGGGACTACAGGCACAAGCCACCACACCCAGCTAATTTTTAATGTTTTTTGGTAGAGACAGGGTTTTGCCATGTTGCCAAGGATGGTCTCAAATTCCCAAGCTCAAGCAATCTGCCCACTTCGGCCTCCTCAGTCTCCCGTAGTGCTGGGATTACAGGCGTGAGCCACCAGGCCCAGACTTCAGAAGCTTCTGAATGGTTGGTTGCATGATATTCTACCTAATACATGCATCATCAACTTGCTCCTTATAATTGAACATTTAGATGCATTCTAATTTTTCCCCATTATTAATAATACTGCTAAGTATATCCGTAGGCATAGGCTTTTTCAATTTAGTTTCTTAGGAAAGATTCTCAACAATGTATAAACATTTTTTTTTTTTTTTTGAGACGGAGTTTCACTCTTGTTACCCAGGCTGGAGTGCAATGGCGCGATCTCGGCTCACCGCAACCTCCGCCTCCTGGGCTCAGGCAATTCTCCTGCCTCAGCCTCCTGAGTAGCTGGGATTACAGGCACGCGCCACCATGCCCAGCTAATTTTTTTATATTTTTAGTAGAGACGGGGTTTCACCATGTCGACCAGGATGGTCTCGATCTCCTGACCTCGTGATCCACCCGCCTCAGCCTCCCAAAGTGCTGGGATTACAGGCTTGAGCCACCGCGCCCGGCCAACATTTTTAAGGCTCTAGATATTAGTCACCAAAAGGATTTCACCAATCAGCAATGTGGAAATACAAAATATGACAACAGCACAAACCTCTCTATCTCCTCTCCTAGAGTAAGTGCCACTGTGGAGACTGGTAAAGTTAAAGGAGGCAGTCTCTTCCTACAACCTTATGATTTTGAATAATTTCTCACTTCCTGGAGTTAGGCAGGATAGAATGGAAATATTTGCAACATTTTTTATTGATTGCACTGATATAAATTGGGTGACCACTTGAAACATGCATATGTTAAAAGGTGTACAATAATACATATTATACATCTAAAACTCTTAACATTTACATACATTCACGGTCTGTGTTAATGGGAAACAGCATGACAATGAAACTGAAAAGAATCTCACAACTTTAAAATTACTATTTTAAGTTTCATTGATTTCTTCCCTCAACTATTTTTTTGTATACTGCTTTGTACTTAATTTCAGGTATACAATTCTTTTCTTATCTGAAATACCTTCTTTTTATGGAAGAGATCATGGTTATTCATCATAACACAAATATATATATATATATTTTTAAGATGGAGCCTCGCTCTGTTGCCAGGCTGAGTGCAGTGGTGTGATCTCGGCTCAGTGCCACCTCCGCCTCCTAGGTTCAAGCAATTCTCCTGCCTCAGCCTCTCAAGTAACTGGGACTACAGGTGCACGCCACCATGCTTGGCTAATTTTTTGTATTTTCAGTAAAGATGGGGTTTCACCATGTTATCCAGGATGGTCTCAATCTTTCTACCTTGTATTCCACTGGCCTTGGCCTCCCAAAGTGCTGGGATTACAGGTGTGAGCCACTGCATCTGGCCATCCCTCTCTATTCTTAAACTCAATTGCCTTTCCAAGAAGTTGAAAATTTCAGAAAAAATTAGTGTGATTCAAACTGTCTTCTGCATTTCTGTATTGTTGGACAATTGCTATTTTGGATTGCTCCAATCTGTCTGTATGTTCTCCTGTTCCTTAATGTACTAATCATTGATAACCTTTCCTTTCCAGCACTAGTTTAGGGTAAGGAGAATATTTCATATTTTTCTTATAGATTAATGAGGTTGTACGGAAAATGTTTACCTGCCCTGTTTATTTTCCCTAATTTTCAACAGATTAGAGAGCCCTAACAAACCAGAAACATTAAACACTTAATCTACTTAAACCATTTGTTGAGACAGGGTCTTTACTCTGTCACCAAGTTGGATTGCAGTGGTGCAATCTCAGCTCACTGCAGCCTTGACCTCCTGGGCTCAAGCTATCCTCCTGTCCGAGCATCCCCAAGAAGCTGGGATTACAGGCATGTGTCACAATATCAGGCTAATTTTTGTATTTTTTGTAGTGATTGCGTTTTACCATCTTGCATAGACTGGTCTCAAACTCCTGGGTTCAAGCGATCCACCCGCCTCAGTCTATCAAATTGGACTACAGGTGTAAGCCAGTGTGCTCAGCAAAAACACTTATTTAAAAAGATCCCTATGGTAAATTTAAAATGGTGAATAGCTACCTAACTGGATGTTACAAGTTCCAGGACTAACCAATAAAATTTTCACTTTTCTTCTTGGATCATTCATTCATTTATTCACTGACAGGAGACAGAGTCTTACTCTGTCACCCAGGCTGGAGTGCAGCAGCACAATTTCAGATTATTGCAAGAAAGCCAAGACTGCACCACTGCAATTGGCACTTCCTGGGCTCAAGTGATCCTCTGCCTCAGCCTCCTGAGTAGCTGGGACCACAGACGTGCATCACTACACCCAGCTAACTTTTGGATTTTTGGTATATAAGGGATTTCACCATGTTGCCCAGGCTAGACTCGAACTTCTGGGCTCAAGCAATCTGCCCGCCTTGGCCTCCTAAAGTGTTGGGATTGCAGGCATGAGCCACTGTGCCCTGACAGGAAATTTATCTATTAAGGTAGAAAAGGGGTCTCCCTATCTTGCCCAGGCTGGTCTTGAACTCCTGGGCTGAAGTGACCCTACTGCCTTGGCCTCTCAAAGTGCTGGGATTACAGGTTTCATTGTGCCTGGCTTCATTTATGTTTTTTAAAATATTCATCATGCATATTTACCTTACATAAAACTTCAACAGGAGTGGACATCTTCTTTTCACTAATCTTTTCATATTTTTGTTTCTTTGTTGCAGCCTATGGAAAATAATCAAATCAAAAAGATATACTCAGTGCTACTGAGAAGAACCTTAGTAGTTTAATGCACAAGACATGTAAACATATACCTGTGAGACTCAGAATTAAAAAAAATCAAAGTACAATACATCTAAAAAAAAGTTTTTCCCAAACTGTTAACTTCTGATGTCAGTTTCTTCTTTAAGAACATAATTTTAGGGGGCAGGGTCGAGGCCACTGATGCAGTAGTGGCAGCAGAATCACCTGGCCAGCCTCGGGACCGGTCACCGGCCGGCAACTGTCCAGTAGCCTCGACCACTGCCTCTTAAAAAAAAATAAAGAAACAACATAATTTTAGCTACATGGAAAGGGTGAGTCTAAAAGGAATATATGAATATCATATATTCATATGAGTACCTCAGATTTAAGTAAAAATGGCTGGGGCCATAGCTGAAAAGCATTTTCTCTTTTTCTCTCTCTACATACACACACACACACACACACACACACACACACACACACACACACACATTTTAAGGAGATGAGGTCTCACTATGTTGCCCAGGTTGGAGTGCAGTAGCCATTCACAGGCTCAGCAGTAATTTCCTGTGGCCTCCAACTCCTGGCCTCAAGCAATCCTCCTGACTCAGCCTCTCAAGTAGTTGGGACTACAGGTGTGCATTGTCATACCCAGCTGAAAAGCATTATCTTTTTTTGAGACAAGATCTCCCTCTGTTGCCCAGGCTGCAGTGCAGTGGCTCAATTATAGCTTGCTGTAGCCTCTAACTCCTGGGCTCAAAGCAATCCTCCTGGCTCAGCCTCCTGAGTAGCTGGGACTACAGGCATGTGACACTACACCCTGCTGAGTTTTTTTTTTTTTAAGTAGAGGTTAAGTCTTGTCATATCGACCAGGCTGATCTTGAACTCCTGGACAAAAACGATTGCCCACCTGGGCCTCCCAAAGTGTTGAAGATTACAGGCATGAGCCAATATGCTCAGCCTGAAAAGCATGTTCTTTACCCATGTTCAACAAAAAGGGCAAAGGCATCAGATTAATATAAATAATCTGTTCATCATTTAGGGGCATTAATACATGGAGTTAATTGTGTAAGTCACGATGTTTTTCTAAAGTAAAAATACTCTTATTGGATAAAGCTACCTAGCCAAGGACCAATAGCTCACAGCCATTCAATAAATACAGGTCTTCCTTTAAAGAACTGGTAAGGTATCAAAATAGCCATTAAATTTAGAACACACCAGCAGCGGTGGCTCATATGTGTTATCCCAGTACTTTGGGATGCTGAGGCAGGAGAATCACTTGAGCTCAAGAGTTGGAGACCAGTTTGGGCAACATAGTGAAGCACCATCTCTACAAAAAAAAAATTTTAAATTTAGCTGGGCATGGTGGCATGTTCCTGTAGTCCCAGCTACTTGGTAGGCTGAGGTTGGAGGACTGCTTGAGCCCAGGAGGTGGAAGCTGCAGTAAGCCACAACTGTGTCACTGCACTCCAGCCTGGACAAGAGCGAGACCGCTCACCCATCCCCCCAACCCAAAAATTAGAACACAGTGATTATTAACGCACACTCACAAAAGCAATGGTGAAACTCCTAGCTAATAGAAACAAAATGTTACTATACGTATTGCATAAATGACAAGTATTGCTGGAGGAACAGGTTTTGTTGTACATAAAAACATACATTTTCAACATAATGGCAACACATCAAAATGAGAAAGTCTCTACCTTTCTTAGTCCATGCCCACTTCCATCTAGACAGAGCTAACGGCTACCAGTGGGTACCAGCTTACTGTTCTCTCAGAGGATATTGTTCTTCAGCTGAACTAAGTTCTTACTAAAATGATCTGGTTTCATTTTCCCAAATAAAAGGTATAAAGTAAATTAAGGTTAATTCTCTATTATCTCAGAAAAATCTCAGATTTTAAAAGGAATGTAAAGCTTATCTTCTCCAATACATATTTTTATTCTAAAAAAGAAAGAGAAAAATGTGATAATGTGCATCTGATTTACCTTTAGCCCTTGCCATGGCAGGCTGGTTCTATTAAAATACATCAAAACATATCCTAATGATTCCATGTCATCTCGGCGACTAGAAAAGAGAACGTAATTTTATGAACTGGAACTGTTATTATAAAAAACATATGAAAGAAAGCCAAGCACCCAGAAGATATGTTCCCAAATGCGGAGGGAACACTATTTGGTGTCCTATGCAAGAAGCTACTTATTTAAGGTGATTTTTAAAAGTTCATGTGTTACTACCTCTAAACAAAACTTTTCTCATGGAATCCAAATCAGGCAAACAACTGTCTTACAACTTAATTTTATTTATTTCTTTTTTTTACTCTTCATACACACACAAAAAAACCCTGAAGATAACAATTTAATTTTAAAAGAACAAAAAGGATTTAGCTAAACAATTCTCTAGAGAAATGAGCTTAATGAACCAAGCAGGACAACATTTCTAAATTTTGCAGAAGCTCATTAAGATAACTTAGGAGGCTGGGCTCGGTGGCTCACGCCAGTAATCCCAGCACTTTGGGAGGCTGAGGCGGGTAGATCACCAGAGGTCAGAAATTGAAAACCAGCCTGACCAACATGGAGAAACCCTATCTCCACTTTAAAAAAAAAAAAAAAAAAATTAGCCAGGCATGGTAGCAAATGTCTGTAATCCCAGCTACTCAAGAGACTGAGGCAGGAGAATAGCTTGAACCTGGGAGGTGGAGGCTGTGGTGAGCCGAGGTCTTGCCATAGCACTCCAGCCTGGGCAACAAGAGCAAAACTCCATCTCAAAAAACAAACAAACAAAAAGTGCTGAAAAGGAGTTTACAACTTAAAACTAATGGAATATCTGAACATCTGTATCAATGTATTCACACATATATATCCATATACACATATATACAAATATATAGATAGATAGGTTTAAGGATAGGTAATTCTTTGGCATATAGAAAAAGTGACATTACAATTTAACCTAGGGTATTCAGATATTCATGGATATCTTAACCCTGAAATCATTTGTATGAGGTTCTTAAACTTGGACGCATATCATTGTTTTTTCCATTACTTCTATGTTTGTTTTAAGGAATGAAAAGTGATTGTAAAAGATGAACTTGAAACTCTAGAACTCATATGAAGAAACAGAAAGAGAGCAGAGACTGTGAAATTTTCTTACTTTAAACTAGATCCTATTAATTGATATATTTGAGTGAAGTATAACAGGAGATTTCTATTAACCCCCTTTTGGTTTATTAGGACACTAATAACATATTTTCAGCTGCAAAATGTCAACATTTCACTTAGCCTTCTAACTTTCAATCAAGCAGTATTTTCCCCTCAAGAAACAACCTTCAACAACAACAACAAAAAACAAAAATACCTCATTTAACTGGCTTCTCAACACTGGCTAAAGTAGCAGGTAAAATGATTAATAAGCATCCTTCAAATCCTCAGCCAAGAAACATTCTTAGACATTGTTAAGAAACTAATTAAAATATTTCAAGAACCCCTTGATGGCTTCTGCTATGGCTATGATAAGTGCATTCCATTTTCTAACTTACCTCTGCTCAATACCAAGATGTGCATTGATGCTAGCATATCGGGCAGTGCCAGTGAGGTTTTTATCTTCTCTGTATGGTATGTGTTGCCTTGTCCTGTTGTCTCTGTACTTTTTGGCCAAACCAAAATCAATAAGGAATAACTTTAAAAGAGAAATACAGAAACATTAGGTTTCCAACCTTGTTCAATTAAACTGCTTCTTATTCATCAAATGGAATCTATACTATGTATTCAAATATATCAAAATAAAGTATCCCAAGTATTACTAGAACAGATAATGAACAGACTTAACACCACCTCACATAAGCTTTTACTAGTCTTCATCATTAAATCAAATATTTTAAAAGTCTAGTAGTTTATTCTTGTCATTTGCAAATCTCACAGGCCCATTTCATTACATACACGGGAGCCTGTCTTTATAAAGTAAGCAGAGAAATGTATACATGCCTGACAGCAGAAGTGACAAGTGAGCTACTTGTCATAATGACACCTGATATAGTCTGTTACTGTCGGTAAACAAACATGAGGTTTCAAAATCTAGATATAAGGGCCAAGAGCGATGGCTCATGCCTATAATCCCAGCACTTTGGGAGGCTGAGGCGGGCGGATCACTTGAGGTCAGGAGTTCAAGACCACCCTGGCCAACATGGCAAAATCCCATCTCTACTAAAATTACAAAAATAGCCGGGGCTGGTGGCAGGCACCTGTAGTTCTAGCTACTCAGGAGGCTGAGGTAGGAGAATTGCTTGAACATGGGAGGCAGATGCTACAGTAAGCCAAGACTGCGCCATTGCACTCCAGCCTGGGAGACAGAACGAAAACTCCATCTCAAAAACACACACAAAAAAAACAGATAAGCGCTATCTCAACTCCTCCTACAACGGCCAACAGAATACTTGTTGTCTACCCTGAAAGTCTAATATTGCCAGTGAAACCAAGATTTTTTATTAATAAAAAATACTACTTAGCACTGACACTATACACATGTGTCAGGCTAAACTTCTGGAAAATTGAACAAGCTGATATAAAAATCCCCCCCAAAAGCACTTAGCATTTAAATCAGGGTGGCTTACAACTAGTACTTTAAGTGAGCTAACTAAAAACAAAACTAGTGTTAGAACAAAATAACGCTTAGTGTTATCTTGTCTATATGGTACTCGGGAAATAATGTATTCATTTTTTCTTTCTTTCTTTCTTTCTTTCTT